TGACTGGTGTTTTTCCAGACAACTTTAAGGTCGCAATTATATCACCAATCTTTAAATCAGAAAGCAAATTAGAGTGCAATAACTATAGGCCAATTTCAGTACTTTCAGTTGTTGCTAAAGTTTTTGAAAAACTTATATCAAACCAATTATCAACATTTCTGGAAACAAGAGGCATACTCACACAACAACAGGCAGGTTTTAGGAAGAAAAACTCAACAGAAACATCGCTTTTAAATTCTACTAACAAGTGGTTTATTAACATGGACAAAGGATATTTAAATGGAGTTATTTTCCTAGACCTTAAAAAAGCTTTCGATTGTGTAAATCATGATATTCTAATTAGAAAACTAAAGTTGTATGGGTGCAGTGAAAATACTCTTTGCTGGTTTAAATCGTACTTAACAAATCGACGTCAGATGTGCAAAATTGGTCGTACTATATCTCAGGAACGTGTTATTCGCTGTGGTGTACCACAAGGCTCTACTTTGGGGCCGTTATTATTTTTACTTTACGTAAATGACCTCCCAAGTTGCCTATCTCATTCAATAGCTAGTATGTTCGCTGACGATACAAATTTAACAACATCTGGGAAGTCCATAGAAGATATACAAAACCAGTTAAATTCTGATTTAGAAAATATTCATACGTGGCTGTTAACCAACAAATTGACTCTTAACAAAGAAAAAACTGAGTATATGATAATTAGCTCTCGGCAACGGTTAGCGAAAATTGATGACGATCCGAAGATAAGTCTTGACGGTATTGATACAAAAAGAGTTAAACAAGCAAAAACATTAGGTATTGTCATCGACGAAAAATTACTATGGAAAAATCAAATTGATGAAATAACTACCAAAGTTTCTAGAGGAATTGGCATGTTAAGGAGAATGAAAGCCTATGTTCCCGGCCCCAGGAAACTTTAAGGACTGTTTATAGTGCACTGATAATGCCACATTTCGACTATTGTAGCCTTGTCTGGGATAATTGCAGTAATTATCTACTAGAAAAATTACAAAAACTGCAGAACAGGGCTGCAAGAGTCATAACTGGAAAATCCTATGAAACTCGTTCAAGTGAGATTTTAAAAAACTTAGGGTGGCAACCGTTGCTAGACCGAAGAAAAGACAAAAGAGCATTATTTATGTTTAAAATAAGAAATAATGAGTTTCCCAAATGCCTGACGAGCATGTTTAACACTAGCAACAATAAAAACTATAACCTTCGCAGTAACGAATTAGATTTTGCACTTCCAAAGCCGAATACGAATTATTTGAAAAAAAGCTTCAGTTATTCAGGTGCTGCGCTTTGGAATGATCTGCCGAAGCACGCAAAAGATAGAGCAATATCAGTTGGTCAGTTCAGGGCTATTCTCAATAACATGGAAGAACGAGCTTGTAAATAGAGTAATACTAATACCTTTTATAACATTTTATACCTTTTTTAGAAGTTCTTTTATAGTGTGTAATAGATGTAAAATTTTGTTTTTGTGCCTTAATTTAGCAACGGCCCCTTGAAAATCAGTCGTAATTCACTGAAGGGCCTACCGTTGTAAAATAAGATTAAATAATAATAAATAATAATAATAATGCGCTGATCGGACTGTACTGCATCTTTAAGATTTTGGTTTACGAAACACAAACAGTGCTCAATACCATATAGATCGAGCGTTTCGTTTTACATCAAAAAACCCACTACAGTCTGTTTCACCGATCCGTATAGGAATCGTCAGGTGCATGGTGAGTAATTTCGAAAATATAAGTTGCTTTTATCCTATCTAAAGAATGCGCGGAATGCGTGTAGGCAAAACAATGCTTAGGCGCGCGCGAAAAAATTAATGCTTAGGCGAAACAGTGATCATTATATTTTGTTAACGACTTTGTTTACTCGAAACCGGTTTTTGTGACGACACTTGTCGAAAATTTCGCTTCTTTTATTGAGTAAATCGTCTTTGTTTATGTCTTTCAAAATGCAATTTTTTTCTTCCAAACATAAATTGCAGCGTTTTGATCCCCCTGTGTACGAAATCGCGTGTTTTAAAATTGACCATTTGATGGTATAATCATTATTGTTTTCTTTTAATTTCCAAATATGTTTCGAAAGTTCCGTTTTGTTTGAGTCTTTTTCATGACGAAAAGATGAAGTGTGGTTAGCGTAATGTTCCTTAAATGTAGTCGTTGTCACACCAATGTAGTGTTTAGTGTCGCTCGTGTTGTTGGTTGTGACTGTGTAAATAATGTTGTTGGTCATATATTGTTTCGGTAGTGGGCAAGTGTTTTTATTGTTTTACAGTTGTCAGTTTCCTTTTTCTGTGATTGGCTGTTCCTAATTATATGTGCGTTGTGTTTGGTGATTATAGACTTAACTTTGTTCATGCAATTACTTTTAAAGTGTTTCTGTTGAAAATCTTGTTTAGTTTGTGCTGTAGTGGAAAGTGTTTGTCAATTAAACTTAAGAATTCCCGTCCTATGATCGTGTTGACACTCTTACTAAATGGTTGGTTGAGATATTTTCGGCGAAAGGCAAATATACAATAATTTCAAAAATTAAAACTGAGCAACACGACGAAACCTAATTTAACGTCCTTCATAGCAAATCCGTCAGCCCAAATGCTTAAAAACTTTAACAAAATAAGTCTGTGTATCACTGGGGACCCACCCCCCCCTCCCCTGACCCCACACACACACACAGCAGCTTTAACTGTTTCTCCGCAACTTTAGCATCAAAACTTTCTCAAAATTTTGTATTGTTTTTGCTCCCTCGCTCACTTGAAAATTCAAGCGACAGTAAAAGCATGCGCGTGACGTCACCGAGTACCTATTAGGAGAATTTCAAAGTTGAACTTTGAGTAAAATTGTTTACCATGTAATATCTTCTACTTATATTATATCATAAAAGAAATAGAAAAACTCGGCTCGTGCGTTTATGGTGTGATAATGCACTCCAGGAATGTTGGAAGAACACTCGAGAAGCGTGTAAAACACTTGGCTACGCCTCGTGTTTTATACGCTTCTCTCGTATTCTGCTAACATTTCCAGTGTGCATTATCACACCATAAACGCACGCGACTCGTTTTCTAATAATTTTTCCGCAAGATCAGCTGCAAAATGATTCGGTACACATTTTTTAAAGCTACGTACGTGCTGTAATGTATTGCAAAGGTTGCCTAGGAAACTTAATCTTAAGTTCAGCATACACTAGTAGATGCTCACTGATTTGTGCATTCGATATTCCACTTCGGTAGACTGATGACTTCGACGATACTGGGCGAACATCTAGCAATGATTAAGTTGAGTCTGTGATCCTATTTGGCGATTTAATGATTGAGTGATTTTTTTCTATTCATTTAAAAATCTACTCATAGTTTTGCATTCTATACAATTATTCTTTTTTCCGATTATTATTCAGTATAAATACAGACTTTGGTTAAAAACAGTCTCTGTAAAATTACAATACATTCTCTGTCGTTCAAGCTGCCTGTACTTGTTACTGTAAAATTACAGGGTTTTTTTTAAAGTGTACTTTAAACTCGACACCAATTTCCGATATATTTTTAGTGGATATATTTTTGTCTTGTTAGTGGACTCATTCTCGTGCAATTTTGTGGATTTCTACGGTTGCCAATGGAGTGAGGATGCCAACGATGATTTCAATTGGATCAGAGGTTCAGGTCATAAGGCCTCAAGAAAAACCGGTCCAACTACCGATCATACTAGGGGTGTAGGTAAGCTAGGCTATATGTTCTATACTGATCACTACACTGGCTATTTTAATTTCACCATAATGTTCTATATTTACTAACATTTTCATGTCATTATTCTTGTGTTGATGCAGTTTAGCTTGAAGTATAGGCTACATTATGACAACAATACTTTTGAAATCTAAATCTATTTAATTGTTTACTTGACAATAAACAATAAAGATTATTATCATAACAATCATATTTATATTCAATCATCATAATCATAATATATCGGTATTGTTATATACCATCGCTATATCCCATCATCGTCATCATCAACCATCATTATCATCCACATAAACACATGAATTATTGCCACTAGTACAGAATTACTAGCTTAAGACATGCAATGATATTATAAGATAAAATCGCTGATATGAAATCCAAAATTTTTATACAATTTTTTTATACTAGGTCTTCTAGCAAACAAGAACCAAGGTCCTGGCTCATTACAACATCGCGGACGCAAATGTATTCGTGTTATCGGGGACGCCTATAATAGACCAAAAGATGGACAATCCCTCGTGCTAGACCAAGGCTGTTGGAAAGGTCAGCAAGAGTTGCAGCTATGGCCGAATGGAACATTGATGTTAACTAGACATGGCATGTGCGCAAAGCCTAATGCTACTGGACAGGTGAGTGATGATGCGAAGGTTGGTAAACTGTAGTTTTGAGTTGTATATCACTTGTTAAAACTATAAACGAGAGGCAACAGACTTAGTGGATCTTTGTGCCACTGTAGTTAGTGGTAATAATAAGAAAGCTGGGAACAAATAGTGATACAACTACCTTGGAAAAATACAAGGAGAACTTGGACGTTTCGAGGAAGGCCTTTAAACAAAACGTCAGAAGTGAATCGTTGTATAAGAATTTCATAAACGAGTTTTTGAGCGAAGTATTGAGAAATTTCTTAATTGCCAAAGCGAATTGATGAGTGACGTACTGTTTGTCTTAAGACCGATATATAGAACGAAGTTAGCACAACAAATTAAAAAGCAGGCCGTACACTAGATAACATTTCCCGGCAACAGTTCTCATATAATAAGTTGTTATTTCAACAAAATATAAAACAAATTTTAAATCGGATTACATCAAATTGATATTGGGCACGTGTTAAATGTACCCATGTGCAATAACCCTGTAAATCAAATCGTTTTATTGTACTTTAATTTCCGACTGTGCTTACCAAAGGTGCACTATATAAATTGATCTGTGTATTATTTACACTTCCGGTTAGGAATTTTGAAAATGTCAGAAAAATTTAATTTCCAATCTAAGCTTTCAGTGCTTTACACCCTTCGCTTGAACGTTGACTACTTTTTTCGCTATTTAGTTATTGCTTCTTCCGCATTTCTGAGTGAGAGATATGTGGCGAGAAATGTAAATAACTGTGACACAATGACACAATAAAAAATTAGTCTAGCGGCATTGTTTGTTATTAATTAACAGATAACGTAAGTGTACATTATATCTCAGTATTTTGAGTATTTCGAGATACAAACATCGAAAAATACATGAAGTAACATACTTTTACATCAAAAATTTAATTTAAATTAATAGGCAAACTAAATAGCACGCACTACCTACGCTTTGAGAAATGTTTTTCTTTTACAGTGACTACAAGGTACGGTTACATATATCCACATGTAATATAGAACTATTCCAGTCCGCCGAAGAAGCAATAGATATTCAGCCATTTTTCACCATACAGTTCAATACGATAAAATTACTTATCATATGTTTTCTGGTATTTATGCAATTAACGGAATACCTATTTTTAACTAAATCGCAATCTCAGATAATCGTAGAATGTCCTTTGTGGAACGCATGGTAATAATATAAGCGCAGGTTCATCCTAAGCCCCATATCTCATGCAAGATACCCTCGCATACTCCCCTCCCCCCCCCTCCCCCTTCGACCTTGATGTGAATGTGAATAAGTTATGATCGTGTCATGTTCAGATGACAGGAACTCTAAAATTGCATTTGACTTTCCATATAACAATTGGTTATGGCTTACTATCTATACCTCCTTACCTACCTGCCTCACCGCCTCGACCT